GGTGTGTGAGCCCTCTGACTGGAGGGACGATACAAACGGCAACACCAAACGCAACAGGACAGCTGACATGTACACACACACACACACACACACACTCCTCTTAGTGATGCATTCACTGTCTTGTTTAACGCTGCAAACTGTGTGGTGCGTTCAGGTCCCAGCTGGTGTCAGCTACAAGGACTCCAGTGTCGCCCTGATGGCTCCTTCGCTCCTCTTCAGTGTGATGTCACTTCCTGCTGGTGTGTCTCCGAGAATGGACAAGAAGTGGGCGGGACGAGAACATCTCGACAGACAGGCCGCACGCCATCATGTGACCGTAAGAACTACCTAAGCTCTGTGGCGGGATGGTGCACTTCCTTCCTGTGTCAGTTTGTGTTGATGAACCTCACTCGCAGCTCATCAGCGCCCTCTGGGTGAATTGTTACTATCACAGTAACCGTAGGATCAACAGGAAGTGGCTTGGCTCTGATGGTATATGCCTTCTCCAGGTCCTCTGTGCCCCGCCCCCATCATTACCCATGGTGCGCTGGTGTGCCGCCCACCAGCTGATGGACGCCAGAGCTGTGACCTTGCTTGTTATCATGGCTACCAGAACTCACTTGCTATCAGCAGTTTCCTGTGTGAGACTGCGAGTCGGAGATGGGATGGAGACCAGAAGCTGCTGAGCGGAGCCTGTCAAAGTGAGACGCCTGACCTCTGACCCCCTTGAAGGGCTACACTGCTTTTAAGCAAACCCGTTTTCTATTTTGCTCTTTTTAAAATCAACCTTTATCCTGTTGTTCAGTCTCTCGGCCTCCGCAGTCCGTGTCCTCCACGCAGCTCTGGGTGTTGCCCTCGTCCTGCTCTCAGATCAGCCGGTTACAGTCTCTGCTGCTCAACACAATGACCAGCAGGGGGCTCTGTTCTGCACAGGTGACCTTACCTGCACCATGCCTTCTTTTCCAAATACTGACTGTTTACAGTCTGTATATTCATTTTCTCTAGTGTTGGTGATGCAGAATGCAGGTCTCATTGTGTGTGTGTGTGTGTGTGTGTGTGTGTGTGTGTGTGTAGCTTCCCTCATCAGGCCGCGCTGTGTCGCTATGTGACGACTCCTCGGTGACTCTGCAGTGTGACGGTGACGACTCGCTGAGGTTGATGGTGAGATGGAGCGCTGCTCTCTATGACCTCCCGACCTCTGACCTCCCAGACCTCCATGACGTTGGTGAGCAGACCATAGACTGTATACAAAAGATGGCCATAACCACTGTGACCCATTTGTTTTTGGACTTTCACATGATTTCACTGGTTTTTTTAGCGCAGAGGTCAAACTCATATTCTTTTCAACCCTGATGTTTACATTTAATAGCCAATCAGGAGACAGTTGGGAGGAGCTTAAACAGCTCGTTTCAAATAGAGGACGATGAAAAGCTGCTCTAGTTGAGCCCAAGAATAAAAGCATGTAAATAAGACGGAGACGTCCACTGGAAACTTTTTAGCTCATCGAGTATTTAAATTTCAATTCAACGACCTGTTGACCTGTTACGACCTTTGATGGCATCACAGGGTCTAAAGTTTAGCACAATGAGTGAAATCGTTTAAATGGCTACAAATTTGTTTTTATTCTAGAAAACTTTTTTCTCATAAAATTACATTTTGAGTTTATTTTTATTATTGCAGGTGTCTTCCTGAATGAGTCCAGACTTCTGGAGGGACTTCAGGGAATTCTGCGCTCCGTGTTGTCATCAGAGCCCAAACTGGTTTCTGTGACTACACCGAGCTTCGGCTGTTCCCGTGGTTACCATCTGGACAGCGACAGCAAGGGCTGTGGTGAGTCTCTGTTCAGCTCAGACATCCAGACTCTGGACCGCAGAGTGTTTCAGAGTGTGGGATCTCCTTCACTCAAACTTTGGTGCCCATAGTTTGAGCCACGTTTGATCCTTGTGGCTTATATCAGAATAAAATCAGGTGTGTCTTCACCTGGAGCTCAGTAAGAGGTGTGTTTGTCCGTCTGTTTGTCCCGTAACTCAGTCTAGTTTCTCTGTTTCCAGTCGTTTGTCCTGCTGGCAGTTTCTCCCAGGAGGGGGTGTGTCATCTGTGTCTTCAGGGGACTTATCAGGACGAAGAGGGGCGGGACTTCTGCAACAGGTGTCCCACAGGGTCGTCACCTGCTGGAGCATCATCTGTCAAGGAATGTGAGTGTTTTTAAACCAGGATTCATTTATTTCGTGACTGAAACCAAACCGGGAGATTTCGTGTTTTAGGCGAAAGTTTAAGGAGGGTCCTAGAAAAATGCATACACTATTGGGCTTAGAGCCACAAATCGACCACGCCCAAAAAAGTGCTATAAAAAATTTATATATCAATATTTTATTCCACTTTAAATTAGCCAATCTTTTAGACCTACTTCTCCTTGAAATATTCATGTCAAGTTTTAATTACATTTCGCGGATTTTAACCCTTTATATCCCGGTTTCGTCACCTGAGCGCACTGCTTTTTTTGAAAATAGCCACAAATCGACCAAAGACCCTCCAGGGGTTTTAAACTACATCATGAAGCCACTTCCTGTTAATGTGTTTATTATATTCATGTTTCATTCTTTATCTTCCTCAGATGGCTCGAAATATTTCTGTCATTTTATTCTAAAAGTATTGAAAACTGCATGTTTTACAAACTCGTTAAAGATCTCTTAAGTCTGACCATCAAACCTTAATAGAGAGACGCGTGAGTGTCGAACACTTTGTGTTTGTGTATGCGTGCATCAGGTGTGACCGAGTGCCAGAGGCAGGGCCTGCGGTGTTCGCAGCGAGGTGACTTCCTGCCAGCGCAGCCGGATGTCCTCGCGAGCAGGTGGAGGTGCTTCAACAGCGAGGGGGTGGAGCTCGAGTGGAGCAGCAGTGACAAGGTTCTGACTGATGACGAGTGCTCAGGTGAAGATGTAGCAGCCAATCAGAGAGCAGCTGTTCACAAGTTTGTTTTTGAGCGTTCTCTTTAGTGTGTGTGTGTGTGTGTGTGTGTGTGTGTGTGTGTGTGTGTGTGTGCTGCAGTCCTCAGCAGGTTTCAAGCTGTTCCCACATCAGACCTGATTGTTGGAGCTGCAGATGCTGAAGTGCTGCAGACGATGACCTCTGACCTCACTGCCTGTGTCCGGGGTAATGCACCTGTCTCTTATTTTCCTGCTCTGGATCCAGCCTCAGCGATCTGACCTGTAACTCTGGAGGATTTTTGGTTTGTGGTGTAAAAACTCATCAACACTGCTGCTGTTTCTCTCACAGCGTGTGCAGCACAGCCTTCCTGCCACCATGTGGCGCTGTTCAACAGCCAGACTCAGTGTGAACTGTACAGCACACACAGCCTGAACACACACTGCAACACCTCCCAGCAGGTACACACCTACACACACCTGCACACACACATAAACACACATCCTTAGAAATAAAAGATTTACATAAATAAACACAAATGTTTTTTAGTCCAGAGGTTTTCTGGGTAATGCTCAGGCTGAGCTGTTTGATTCGCTAAGCTGCTATCTGAGAGTGAGGGGCGGAGCTTCAGATCTGCTGGTCATCAGGAAGAAAGGTACTGCTATCATCAGAGCCATGTGAGGTGTGCTGCAGCTGTGTGTACCTGTGTGCTCAGTCTGGTGTGTGTGCTTCAGGTGCAGAGTTTTCCTCGCAGCAGCAGCACAGTTTTGTGAGGATGAGGATGATGAAGGCGATCTCAGGTGTGTTCAGGACTCAGGTGTTCTCCTCCAGGTGGACCTCTCTTTCCGACGCTCATCGTTTCTGTCAGGTCGGCTGCAGCCGCGACACCTGCTGCGACGGATTCATCCTCAACCAGAACAGCCTGGAGGGAGGTATGTTACCATGGAGACCATGGAGACACGGACGGTGATAGCTGATGAATGAGAGCGCCTCGTGTCGTCCTCTCTCTGCCAGGGTCCCTACTCTGTGGCTGGTTGAGAGCTCCATCAGTGCTGATGTGCGGGGACCGGGACTGGGATGTGATTGGTCAGGGAGCGGCCAAACGCACTTGCGGGGCGGGGCTTACCTACAACGAGCAGCAGCGCAGCTTCATGTTTGACTTTGGAGGACAGGAGTTCACCATCAGTAAGAAAAATCAAGTCACAGCTAAAATCCGTCACTCATAAAACAGGTAACCACGCGACTAAAGCACTTCCTGTTTCCTCCTTCCAGCTGATTCTGCTCTGCCAGCTGACAGCAAGAACAGGAAGGACTATCAGGCCTCCATCATCAGCTTCCAAGCCATCTACCTGAACACTGGTACCTGTTAGAGGACATATTTTAGCACTTCATGACAAATGCATACAGAGACCTATGATCAGCTGTCTCTCCAGCTCTGCTGTCGGGTGTCTGATAGAGAGGCGGTCCTCATTCTGTGAGCTGGGTGAACCACAGGCCACAGCAGATCTCCAGAGCAGGACTGGCTATAAACCAGCTGCAGGATGAGCTCCTCTCTGAGGAAGCAGAGCTGCTGTGGGAGAAACTGGCTACAATTACACCAGAATAATTATTTACACCTGCAAGAAAAAAAGACCAGACTGGCAGTACTGAACGAGTTGAGCAAAGTTTGACTTACGTGACTGTTTGGTTTCACTTAACGCGCCTTATAATCCTTTGACGTCGACACTGTTGTGTTTGTCGTCTTCTGCTAGCAAAGATTTATGTAAATTTGACAAGCTGGGTGGATTCTGTACTGTACAGGAGACACGGCACGAGACTGATTGAAAATGGTCTACAGCCAATCAGGACGCAAAACACAATGTGCTGTGAAAAAAAAAATGTGCAAAATTGCACCAAAAAAAATCTGTGAAACAGTGAAGCTGTGAAAAGTGCTCACTATGTATATACACATGTATTTATACTGAAACAGCAGTGATGGCTGAATAAACTTAAACAAGCTCAAGAGCGCCCCCTATGGAACAGGTAGACCAGATAGTAGAAATGATTATCAGTTCTCAGATCAAAAAGGACCACCACAAAGAGCTATCCAGTAATGAAACCATGAGACAGGAAGGGACAACTAAAGTTTCAAAATAAAACTGAGCCGACTGTCACTTACTGTTATTCTCTCAGAAAGACTCAAAAATGTGCTAAAATAATTCGTTTAAGTCACTCGCTGACGACACTGTTTGTCTCAGTTCTGCTTGTTTGTTGTTGTGATGCAGCTTCGGCCGTCGGCGGTTCTGGTTCTTCTTCGTGTGCTGCAGCTGAGCTCAGCCCTCCTCTGGACGGTTTGTACAAACAGAGCAAAAGTCTGAAGTTTCTGTTGGATGGTTGGCGACGTGTCACCGATGCTTTTATGGGCTCTGTTTGTGTTGCAGCTTCAGTTCAGCTGAAGTTTGCGTCTCTGTCTGAGGACGACGTTCTCGTGGATCCTCAGAGGAAGCTCCCCGCTCTCTCCTTCTGGCTCAACAAGAACAACTACAACTCCCAGCAGGCACAGCTCTGGTGTCTCACGCGTATGTGAAACTGTCTTCTCGTCCTGAATACAAAAATGGAGATTCTGGTTTTCTGGGTTCTGCTTGTTGTAAAAGTCCAATTGACCAATCATGTAGCAGCTTCAGTTCTCTGCATGTGGAGGTCATTAGCCATGCTGTTTATACGCTGGAACCCCTGAAAAATGCTCGGACGGGTTAGTGCCTGTGTCGGGACAGCTGCCTCAGTCTTTCAGGTCACGCTGGCATCACCTCGGCGGTTTCCTCCATCAGTCCTGAGACGCTGTGTGGTTTCAGGTTGTGACGAGGAGCCGCAGTGCTCGGTTGCTGACCTCAGAGATGCTGACTCGGCAGGTTTCTTCAGCTGCTCGTTGTATCCGGACAGCAGAGTTTGTGGAGCATACGATAAACCTCTGAGACGACCCTGCAGCCCCCTGCTGGACAGAGCACCCAACAACACCTACAGCAAGAAGGGTAAAGAGGGGAGCTCAGAGAGTCACTGTCATGACTTCATAGCTGCTCCTGCTGTTTTTAAACACCGTGTGTGTGTGTGT